TTGTGTCATTTAACGGATGTTATAGAACATAAACTACACTAATACAAAATATAATGCACACTTAGTCAGTCAGCACATTTTGTAGTAGAACAGTAGATTATACATGTAGTGCACTAACTCATTCATTAATACAGATAATGGATATAATGTTTCAGTTCGGTTTCTAGCACATACTATGTGCACTACAGTATAACATCATACTACACTGACCAGCTTCATCACAAGTCTGTCTGTGTTTGGTGCTACAAAACCCTTCAGCTAAGAAAATCATTAGTTATTATAATTATAAACAAATGATCTCTAACAAATAGGGTTTGTTGTAACTGCTGCTGTACATTAATGAGCATTTGTTCTGCTGAAACACAGATTTGTGGACGTGAATAACCCATATCATGTGAGTACAGGATGATGAAGGTTTTCATTAAAATCAACTGCTGTTCTATAACATGATAGTTGACAGTGTCAGCAATGAAAATGGGCTTCGTTTCATTGAGTTTGATAGTGTGACTGCAGTACCGGTGCTCACCAGAAGATGCCGCTGCAGACCGAGATTCACTGTGTTATTTATGTGCTAAATTATTTCAGCAACATTTCTATTTTAGTTTAACTTTTATAAAAATAAAACAATAAAAATAAAAAAAATATTTCAAAACCCGAAATAAAAATTCATAAAAATGATAGACATTAAAATGCTAATGCAAATGTAAAATTATCCAAAATCAGTAAATTTGTTTTTGTTTTTTTTTATTATATTTTAAAACTTGTAAAAGTACTGTAATAAGAGATGCAGACATAGAAATGGAGTAGAGATGCTAGAGACCATAAACCTGGTTAAGAAAGGAAAATGGATAAATATTGTGTGTTTCTTTCCCTGCGCTTGTAGAGAAACATCACACACACACACACACACACACACACACACTCTGTTCTATACAATATGAATGAGTGTATTCGGTGGATGAAGTCATTGCGCTATATTTGGAGCACTCAGCGTTTTCTGTGTCCATGCACACGTGGTTTTGAAGCGATGAAGTCACAGCTCTATATATGGAGCTGTGTGAGTGTGTGTGTGTGTGTGTGGAGTCCTCCCTCTTTTTGTAGCATCTCTGTTTCACACTGATAGTGAAACACATTCTCTTATTTCACCTAATAAATGCTGAAGTGTTTCATTCCCTTTAATTCTCCGAAATACGACACTTTTTCAAATTCGCATTTTTTTTTTCTGTTTCTACTCTTTTTTTTATTATTTTTTCCCTATTTCTTTTTTTTTTTTATTTTGCCAATTTATCTGTCTGTGATTTTTTTTTTAAATGTATGTTCCTCTTAATTTTTTGGTTTGTTTCTGGTTTCCACTTTTTGTCTGTCTGTTGATCGTCCAGCATCCCTTCAGCAGTAGAGTGAGAGAGTGAGAGAGCGAGAGAGAGAGTGAGTGTGTGTGTGTGTGTGCGTGCGTGCGTGTGTGTGAGCGAGCGAGAGCAGGTTGTTGGAGTGTGTTGGGCTCTCAGAGCGGCGCGTGTGTTTGCTGAGGGAGGGACGGATCAGAGACGGAGAGATCAGAGAGTGTGTTTGTGCTGGATGCTGGTCGTCGTGGCGATGGGAGTAACGACCCAGAGTGCAGCTGGATGCTGATGAGTGACATCAGTGTAAGTAACACACACACACACACACACACACTGCTGCATCGCACTGCTGCTGTTTCCATGCACTCGTGTGTGTGTGTGTGTGTGTTTAATTTACTTTGAGGATGAAATTGTCTGCTACATTTAATCTTTTTTGGGTAGAGTCATTATAATTAGTTTAATAGAAAAGTCTATGAAATGTGCTTGTTTAGGCTATATAAACATGAGTGTTTCTATTACGTGTTGGATGCCTTATGGTTTCAGTAACTGATTTTTTTTTTTAGCAAATCTGAGTCCATGCATAATTTTGTGCAAAATTGTGCAAATGCAAGCAGAAATACAAGAAAAAAAATATGCCGAGAAAGAGACACTGTTTGTCTGAGTGTGTAAATGTTTTATGACTTTTGCCGTTCTGCAAATGTGAGCACAATACAGTCAGAGAGAGAGAGAGAGAGTGAGAGTGTGTGTATGTCTCTGAGGGTCTGTATGGAGGTGACAGATATTAATGACATGCTGAAACAATCACAATCTTTTGGGAAAAAGACAGAAACAGGCAGTGATTGATTGTGTGTGAGAGTGAGTGAGTGAGTGAGTGAGTGAGTGAGTGTGTTGTTTGTGTGTGTGGACTTGTTTTTACTACTTGGTGAGGACCAAAAGACCGCACAAAGATAGTAAAATAAGGAAAGCTTGACCAATTTAAGGACCCCACAAAGACATGATCTTTTATATAAGACTATAAAATGACTAAATATACTATCGTCCAAACCTAAACCTACCTGTCACAGAAAACATTCTTATATCTAACATTTTTATATTTATTCTTTATTATAATTTTTAAGATGATGCCTTTGTGGGGTCCAACTAAATTACACAAAGTAGTATAAACAAGGATGTGTGTGTGTGTGTGTGAGATGATAGTACAATCTGACAAACCAATACTGAACAGATGAAGGTCCGACAGAGACAAACTGCACAATGAAGGACTAGATTTTAGCCTGTGCTAAACTCACCGTCACAAAACAAGGGTGTTGCTATGCAGTTACTAGGGTGATTTAGCTGGTTGCTAGTGTGATGTGGGTGGTTTCTAGACTGTTGTTTGTGGTTTGGGTGGTTGCTAGGGCGTTGCTATTGTGTTTGGTGTGGTGTCTAGGCTGTTGTTTTTGGTTTGGGTGGTTGTTAAGATGTTACTATGGTGTTTGGTGTGGTTTCCAGGGTGTTGGTGGTGGTTTGGGTGGTTGTTAAGGTGTTGCTAGTGTGATGTGGGTAGTTGCTAAGGTGTTGCTATGGTGTTTGGTGTGGTTTACAGGGTGCTGGTGGTGGTTTGGGAGGTTTCTAAGTGTTGCTAGTGTGATGTGGGTAGTTGCTAAGGTGTTGCTATGGTGTTTGGTGTGGTTTACAGGGTGCTGGTGGTGGTTTGGGAGGTTTCTAAGTGTTGCTAGTGTGATGTGGGTAGTTGCTAAGGTGTTGCTATGGTGTTTGGTGTGGTTTACAGGGTGCTGGTGGTGGTTTGGGAGGTTTCTAAGTGTTGCTAGTGTGATGTGGGTAGTTGCTAAGGTGTTGCTATGGTGCTTTGGGTGGAGGCTAGGGTGTTCTGTGTGGTTTCTAGGGTTTTGTTGGCGTTTTGGGTGGTTGCCAAGGTATTCTTTGTGGTTGTTAGGGTGTTGTGGGTGGAAGGGCTGCACAATCAGGGGGAAAAAAAGTAATTTCATTTTTTTTCTGATAAAAATTGTGCACTGCAATTCAAAATGTGATTTAAATCAAATTAAAAAAATTGTGATGTGGGTGGTTGCTAGGGAGTTGCTATGGTGTTTTGGGTGGTTGCTAGGATGTTGCAGATGGTTACTATGCTGAAAAGAGTGTTCCTCCTTCAGTGTGCGTCTGTGGGTGTTTAATTTATTTATGTTTTTTTTTTTACCTGTTTTAATGCGAAATCTCCTCAACACACATGATGTGAGGAATCATTCATGTCTGGAGCACAAACACTGCACTTACACACTCAGTGATACAGGTTTCAGCGCTGCACTATCAGCACTAGTGAGTGAGGATTGACTTAACGACCAGCACTCATTGGTTTAATATAGGAACAACAGAAGTCAATGCAGGGTCTCATACAGACAGCTTGGTAAACGTGTGTAATGTTCTCATTATAAACAGTGCATTTATTAGTATTTGACAGTATGAGTTGAAAGTATAATGTAGTTCATCATCATCCTGTCTGTCAGAAACCTTTCATTTCTGCGTGAGTGTATATTTGTGTGTGTGTGTGTGTGTGTGTGTGTGCAGACAGACAGAATGGGTTCATCGCTGGGGCTCTGAGACTTCTGAGAAACACACACCTGTGATTTAGCGTGTCAGCTGAAGTCTCTTCATGTGCAGGTAGCAAGTGGAGACGGAGGAGAGTGTGTCAGTATGTTGTGTAGTTTTACTCAGAGCTTCAGTTCATGAAGTTTATAGGGAATTCAGTTTTCAGATGCATAAAAAGCCACATTCAGACTGCAGCGTTTCGGTCTCGCATTTAAATAAACTCATGAACCCATGATCATCAACCTCCCTCAGCCATCTACTAAAAATATGAACACTGACAATTTAACCGCTTCAGGTTATTATAGTTAACCAAGACTAAACATTTTCTTTACTTGACAAAATAAGTCAAATAAAATATACATATAAAAAACAGTGTTTATTTAATATAGTCACCAAGGAAACATTTTTCATTTTAATTTAGTTGTACTGATGAACTAACTACAGTGCCTTAGCAACAGCATAGTAGCCACCCTAGAAACAACCCAAAACACCTTAATAACACCCTAGCAACCACTCACGGCAGCCCAGAATATCACAGAGACACTTGCTTCAGGCCATACCAGAGGAAAACACCTAGCAACCACCAAGAACACCACAGCAACACCATAGAAACCACTCATAACACCCTAGCAACCACCCACGGCAGACCAAAATATCACAGAGACACTTGCTTCAGGCCATACCAGAGGAAAACACCTAGCAACCACCAAGAACACCACAGCAACACCATAGAAACCACTCATAACACCCTAGCAACCACCCACGGCAGACCAAAATATCACAGAGACACTTGCTTCAGGCCATACCAGAGGAAAACACCTAGCAACCACCAAGAACACCACAGCAACACCATAGAAACCACTCATAACACCCTAGCAACCACCCACGGCAGACCAAAATATCACAGAGACACTTGCTTCAGGCCATACCAGAGGAAAACACCTAGCAACCACCAAGAACACCACAGCAACACCATAGAAACCACTCATAACACCCTAGCAACCACCCACGGCAGACCAAAATATCACAGAGACACTTGCTTCAGGCCATACCAGAGGAAAACACCTAGCAACCACCAAGAACACCACAGCAACACCATAGAAACCACTCATAACACCCTAGCAACCACCCACGGCAGACCAAAATATCACAGAGACACTTGCTTCAGGCCATACCAGAGGAAAACACCTAGCAACCACCAAGAACACCACAGCAACACCATAGAAACCACTCATAACACCCTAGCAACCACCCACGGCAGACCAAAATATCACAGAGACACTTGCTTCAGGCCATACCAGAGGAAAACACCTAGCAACCACCAAGAACACCACAGCAACACCATAGAAACCACTCATAACACCCTAGCAACCACCCACGGCAGACCAAAATATCACAGAGACACTTGCTTCAGGCCATACCAGAGGAAAACACCTAGCAACCACCAAGAACACCACAGCAACACCATAGAAACCACTCATAACACCCTAGCAACCACCCACGGCAGACCAAAATATCACAGAGACACTTGCTTCAGGCCATACCAGAGGAAAACACCTAGCAACCACCAAGAACACCACAGCAACACCATAGAAACCACTCATAACACCCTAGCAACCACCCACGGCAGACCAAAATATCACAGAGACACTCGCTTCAGACCATACCAGAGGAAAACCCCTAACAACCACCATAGCAACACCCTAGAAACCACCCAGAATACCATTAACACCCTAGAAACCACCCAGAACAACCACCAACAGCAGACCAGAATATCACACTCGCTTCAGACCATACTAGAGGAAAACCCCTAGCAACCACCCAAAACACCATAGCAACACCCTAGCAACCACCCAAACCAGCCACTAGGGCTGCACAATTAATCAGAATAAAACCGAAAATGAATTTAGTTAAATGGAGGCGTTTAATCAGCAGCAGTGTGTTTTTGTGTATTTTGTCGAGCGTTTGCTCAGATCGAGCTGCTCTAGACGTCAGAAAGTGTTTGACTGTGTCGAGGTTTGCTGGCGGTCGCCGCAGTACTCTGAATGTCACGAGTGACACTGAAACACGGCCACAAAACCATTAACCTTTACATTCACAACACGCACATATAGATATTCCTCCAGCTGACTGTTTCTCTCAGGTCTCTGTCTGACGGATGGTTTTCTGCTGGTGTCTCATTAGCTGCTGTCCTGTTCTAATGCCTCACACAATCATGCTGCAAATGCTCTTCAATCTGAACACAATTTATTTTCATTTGTGGACATTTGATGAATTGCATGATGAATCTGTGTGAGGTTCCTGTGGTTGAATTATTTACACTGGCTTTTCCCAAATGTTTTTTTTAATCATCTGAACCTCTTTGAGCCAAAATATGTACTTGAAGCCCCCTGAGATTAAAGTTAATATCCAGTTAATATCAACTCTGTGATGTTGGTTAATGGTCATGACATGCATGATTGTTTTTATTTTAAAATGTATTATTTTAATTGTAATTTTTTTATTTGATTGATTTTTAATAAGGACTTTATTTTATTTTAATATTTATTTTAAAGCGTTGCATTTGTGATTTAATTGCTTTGTAGTGAGCATTTTATTTTGATTGTTTTTACATTTAATTCTACTTTGATTCATTTTTAGCAAGTGTTTTTTTATTTTTTTATTGTCTTCATTTAAAAATGATCATAATTAGCCTGTTTTGCCTGCTCAATTTGTGAAAATCTGCTCGTAAATGGTGTGATTTTCAGTATAATGTGAAAAAAGTGAAAATTAAATGACACAGTATTTCCTATAGATTCTTCATCCACTGCCTGAGTTAGTTTAACTTAGTTAAACTGTTGACATGTTTATATCTACTTGCATGCATAATAATCTGATTTATTATCATAACCATCTGAAGGAAACTCTAGCGCCCCTTTGAGTCCTGTGACAGTAACACACTTTAATGTCTGTGTTTCTAGTTTTAAACCTGTTTACCGATTCTTGCTTTACAAACTCAAACACAAAGTGTCTCTCTCATTCCGTTTCAGGGATTTTGCGTATGTGGCCCGTGACAAGAACACGCGTGTGTTGAAATGCCACGTGTTTCAATGTGACAGTCCCGCGGAAAGCGTCGCCAGCAGCCTGAAGCAGATCTGCTCGAAGGTGAGGAGCGAGAATCGAGAAACAATCCGCAGACATTCACAATCACAGCAAACAAACACTCGCTTTCATACTGACAAATTGAATCACTAGTCGCATATTTATTATCAGGCTCATTAATAATTTATGAGGAAAGAGCCTCAGCAACCAATCATCTGTCCGGTTTGATCTGAAGCCTTTTCTGTCGGTCTGTGAAGATCAGGGTGCGAACTACGGGGGAGCTCGGCTCCCCTTAATAAGACATGGGCTCCCCTGAAAACGGGATTTGTGAAATTTTGGGGGGGTCTCAAAAAATATTGACAATGTGTTATTTTGACGTGCAATTTCAGTTTTGTGTAATGTGATCATCGTGGATTATTATGTGTAAAATTGCAAAAATATCATTCATTCATGCATGACGGCGATTTAAACCTAATTCACTTCAATAAAGATAACTATACATGCTATTCTTGTCATGAGCATCAAGGTGTGGGGGCGCTGCAGTGCAAATTCCACTCATGTTTAGTACATGTTAACTCAAAGATTCGTAGAAAAAATATAAACGTTGGACTCTGTGGTCGATTCTGTGTTAAGGTAAGGCATGTTATTCGCAATTATGTGTTGTGGCTGGGTTGTTATAGGTCTGCGTGACTCTCGATGCCTTAGTCCTAATTGAACGGAGGAATTATGGTATTTTTCTGTAGCCTGACGACGAGTAACTTTAACCGTTGTTCATGTGAACTCAAAGACAGCCTGATGCTTTGTTTATAGACTATTTGTGGGTGGCTGTTTGTTTTTTCACCTGTCAATTCGTGTCGATAAAGTATAATAGGGTAAATCCTGTATAGTGATTTATCCTGTATAGTGCTTGCATAAAGCAAGTAGTGCATACACTTGTAGCTGTTATGTATCTTTGTAAGACATTGAAAGCACTCTTTTGAGGCATGCGCAAGCGCACGAACCCCCCCACCCGTTATTAAAAAAAAACAAGTGGGCTCCCCCAAAGTCCACGGTATAGTTCAAACACTGGTGAAGATAAATGTGTCTTCTTAGGGAAAATATCTGTGTTTCCAGTATTTCTTTGCGTCGTGGGTTGAGTGTGTGTGTGTGTTAGTATGCGCCGTCCATCCTCACGTAAAGTTGCCCTCTCAGCACGTCCATCCACAGGCTTTGATTAACATTGAGCTCAGATTTATTGTCTTCAGATTAATGACCTGCATGAGCAGAGAGACTGACAGGAGGCTGGAGAGGAACTCAGGCTGTTTAACTCAGTCGTGTTGTATGTTTTCTCAGATTATGGCTGAACGCAGGAGCGTCGGTCCCGTCGCAGGCTCCTCGTCTCAGTTCAGCTCTGATGTTCCTCTGAGAGGTAAGAGCTTCACACGCGCCGGCAATGATGTTCAGTAACATGACCAATCAAATCTGGACGTTTGATGATTGTGAGTAACCTGTTTGACTCCAAGGCCCCGTTTGAAGGCCCTCCATGTATAGGCTAAGGTACTTTTGCTGTTATGCAAAAGTTTTTCAATTTTTATTCATAAAGTAATTAAATACATTTATTTTTCTAACTTTTGCATTTAAAAACAAAGTATTGTGCATGTAAAATAATTAAGTAAAAATATTGAAATAATTGAATTCCATAATTCCAGAAGTTTCACTTGAATGTTCTTTTGGATTTGCTATTTTTATTGCCAGTTAATTGATATAATTGCTCTACTCTTGTGATTACAGGTTTTTATTTTTTTTTTTCATAAATAGCAATTTATTTTTATAACTTTTGCATTAGCGCATAACAGTGTTTATTTCAAACTTTATTTGCAAAATAATTATATATAATTAAATTTCATAATTTCAGAAGTTTCATTGAATTTTCTTCAGGGTTTACACTTTATTTCTAATGAATTTGCATTAAGGTTTTTCTTTTGTGATTATTACAGTATTTTTTCATAAGTAACAGTTTCTTTTAAGAACTTTTGCATTAGAGCGTAAAAGTTTGTTTTAGAACTGTATTTATACAAATTTAATAAATTATAAATTAAAATAACTAAATTCCATAATTCAAAATTTTATTTGAATGTTATTCAGAGTTGACACTTTCTATTTTTATGTGTAGTCTTTTGTGAGTACAGGATTGTTTTTTTTTCTTCATAAATAGCTATTTCTTTTAATTTTGTAGTCATATTGCAATTTCTACCTAATAAAATATTTTAGTTTGACATAAAAAAAAACATTCATTATAATTTTTTTTCTGTAATGACAAAACTTCCATGACTTTAAGACTTTTAAGACTATTCATTTCCATTTCTAGAAATCACACTTTTAAAATTGTCATATATCCAGGTTTTCCAAGACCGTGAAAATCCTGGTTCTTAAATAAAAATGACAGCTTTTGAGCAAACACATTAAAATAAGAAATGTCAGCTTATCTTAATGTTTAGTTGTTTTAGTTTATTTTAAACTTAAGTAAAATGTAATTAATAGTTTTTTAAAGAAATTCATATTTAGGCACAATTTATATTCTATGAAACTAATTTCAATCAATTTAAGCATAAGCTGTTAGAACAGAAGGTTAAAATAATGACGTAAATTCAGTCAGTGAGTCCAAATGTTTAAGTGTTTTGTTTTATGAACAAAACACACAGATGGCCTGAAATGAAACTGAAATGAGCAAAGCAAGAAAATTATGCAAATCTTTTTTTTTGCACCAAAACGGTTAATTAATTTCAATGAAACTGCATTTTTAATGTAAGAACTTAACATGTATCTAAAGTTCATTGGTCAATGATCTTTTCGCTGTGTAAACACAACTGCGGTCCACAGAGATGCATTGTTTTGTTGCAGCTAAAACACAAATATAAATAGACCTATAAGCTGTTTTTCTTTAGGTATATTCATCTGTTTTGATGTAAATATATTTTGTGTGTTTGTGTGTGGGTGTGTGTATATATATATGTGTATTTGGAGAATTGTAAATTCATGCTCCAGCAGTGCAAGTCCATAAATAAAGTGATGGGCCGTGCTGACCTCAGCACACGCTCACGCTTTATTTCATTCCTGCTGTAAATTCCTGTAATGATCAGTGGGATAATGAAAGCTGCAGTTCTGACCCATTAAAATGCAATTAAATCACCCGTGTTACAAATCACAGAATCACTGCCGCTGCTGCATTTACATCCGTCTCATCTCTATCACAGTTTACAGCTGCTTCAAATACGGCTTGTCCGCTAGCTGTTTTATAATGCAAAACGTACAGCGCAGGATTTCTGGGCTCCTGAGGGATGCTTAGCTCTGTTTTCATCATGCCAGAGGTTCCCGCTATGTGCAAATGCATTTAGAGCATAGATTCCCTCGCCGGCGCTTGGACCGATGAGTGAAATCTTCTGCGTGATGTTCAGCTCGTGTTTCTCATCGGTGTGTTTCTTTAGTAGAGTTTCCAACACCAAAGACTGACCTACAACACAGTTTCCATGCGTTTTACCTGGGAATGACGTCAGTACTGCGACCTATAGGTAAAACACACACACACACACACACACACACTACACTATGAACTTCATTTGAACAAAAACCAAGGGCGTCCTTATTAAATGAGCCATGTTACTTTGCAACATCAATACTGTTATTCAACTAAACTGATTCAAAATGAGCTGAATAATGACACTATTGTCTTCTGTGGAGCTGTTTTACAGCTGAAATTGAACTTGTTTCATAAATGATTAATTTTGAGCACCATTAATTTCCTGTTTATCAATGTCAAGCTGCTCTGAAACAATCTGTATTGCCTAAAACACAACAGAAATAAATGGAACTACAAAAGCAAAAATGCATTCCAATAAGCTTGAGATGCCAGTTATAAAATATACTGATATTAATTACTGAAATGTGTTTCTCACAATTGAGATCCAAAACAAGCCAGATTTTTTTTTTGACCGTGATACTCAATTAGATAAAGAAACAGTGAATTTTCTTTGGTTGATTCAGAAGACAAATCTCAGTTTTGAGTAAACTTTGAGTATTAAATTACACAAATTCACATGTATTGCATATTTTTGTGTTTGTCAAGCTACAATAAAGGTTTTCTGTTTTTTACCTGACTTTAGTGTCTTTCGTAGTGTTGATTTTGGCAAACTGCATGGAAACCAATAGGTGAGTCAATATGACTCCAACACAAAAGTTGTAAGAACATTTGTACAGCCTTTCCAAAACACATCTCTGTGTTGAAACTTTACATGCACATTCATGACCCAGAATGGAAAATATTCACCAAATTTTTAAAATAAATAAACAGTTTAACAAGTATTTCGAGCAGTTTGAATATCGAGTGTGGATCAAACTGACCCCAACACAAAAGTCCTAAAGAAATCTGTGCAGCCTTTCCAAAACACATCTGTGAGTTGAAACGTTGCATGCACGTTCATGACCCTAAATGAGAAATATTCACAAAATTTTAAAAATAAATAAATACTTTAACCAGTATTTTAAGCAGTTTGAATATCGAGTGTGGGTAAGACAGACCCCAACACAAAAGTCCTAAGAAACTTTGTGCAGCCTTTCCAAAACACATTTGTGTGTTGAAATTTTTCATGTACATTCGTGGCCTTAAATGAGAAATATTCACCAAATTTTAAAAATAAATAAATACTTTTACCAGTATTTCAAGCAGTTTGAAAATCGAGTGTAGGTCAAATTGACCCCAACACAATGGGAGAAAGCATCACATCACTGGCTTTGCAGCATGCACTTCTGAGACGAGTCTTGTGCATGTCATGTAATGAGTAGGGCTGGGTATCGAGTTCGATACTTTTTAGGCACCGACCGAAATGCCTCGATACCATCGAGTATCGAAAAACGTCTCGTCGTTCGGTACCAAATTTCGATACCTAAGGAGGAGGAGATAAGTTAATCTCATCAGCGTCAGTGAGCCAATAAACCTGCAGCACTAGCCGGTGTGTTCGACTAGAAGAGGTGCGGCGCAGATCGATCAGTGTTTGACATCCGAGAGTGCGATTCGAAAGCGCACGGAGCAGTCTGCTCTCTTTAGCTCTCGTGGTACTGTAATACACCGAGAGAGAACACATGGAAGAGAGAACACAACCAGACAGCGCTGGAAGCTGCTAATGCTCATCAGTAAATCAGTGGAAAATAAATAGAAATCATGATTCTGTCTGAGCTATGCGTTTTAAAACGAACATGCACTAGTGTAAATGTAGCTAACAGATGTGTAAACTGAAGACTATTTGAGCTTTATTAAAACTATTTGCACTGATTTATTGTGTTGGTTACATTTTGTTCCTTTGTGCAGTGGCTCAGGAGATGAGTCTTTGAGTTTGTATAAACATCAACAAGCTGAAAAATTAAAGTTTTATTTTTTTTTAGATAATGCAATCTTGTTCAAATTGGTATCGAAAAAAGTATCGTTCAGGAACCGGTATCGAAATCAAGGTATCGGTATCGATATCGAAAATGTTGACATTTGTATGATGCCTGTATTGAGCGTATTCAAATCAGTCAAGTCAAATTTATTTGTAAAGTGCTTTTCACAATACACATCATTTCAAATCAGCTTGACAAAGTAAATCAGTCACTCATGTGCTTCATCTCTGTTTGGATGCTGACAGTCAGACTGATCACTAGGTTTTGGAAGCAAACTCATTTATACACGATTCTTTATTTTAACCTTCACCCTGTGTAACTGTAAGGAACTGTAATGTTTTTTCTCAAATGGTGTGTTTCAGGAATGGACATGATAAATGGAGCGATAGACAGTCTGATGTCCACCGCAGGGAAAGAGGACTGGACCCCTGTCCTGCTCAACGTCGCTGACGCCACAATTACTGTCATCAAAGAAAAGGTGACGCTTTACATTCTTGTGACAATTTCTACATTTTCTTCTGCCCTGAAATAGTTTGTGCATCAGACACTGTGAGACCTCAAACTTCCCACTCAGTACTCAGGCATACACATTCATCAGATTCACATTTTTGCTAAATATTAAAAACAGCAAAAAGCACATTCATTTCCATCTCCGCATAGACGATCATTTACAAACTAATCCTTGGATTTTGTCTGACTGTCATTAAATGTAGTCTAGAGACAAAAAATTTTAAAGAAATTTAATTTTGATTGGATACTGATTTAGACACTTCTTACATTTGCATTCTTAATACGGTTTAACACCTTTACCAAATAATTCATGCAAGTGTTAAAAAAAAAAAAAAAAAAGTTCACTTGAGAAACCTTGCATTCGTTCACAAAAAGCACTGAAATTATTTTTTCCTCCCATCTAATTCTTTCCATTCATCATCATGTTCTTTTTATGGGCTCTGCAAAATACAGAGAAGTGAAGCATGTTCGAACGGAAACATTTTGTGAACTAACACACATTTTCTCAAGGGAATGCAAAATCTTAGTGAGTGAATGCAACAACAGTTTTAAATACGTTTTACAATTTCATTCCTAAATACAATTTAACACATTTACCAGATTCATGTAAGTGCTTTAAAAAAACAAAACATGAGACAGGAGGAAAAAAAACTATATGCTTTTTGTGAACAAATGCAAAGTTCCTTAAGCGTACACGGTTTCGAAAGCGAACGCAAAGTTTCTCGAAAACTAAAAACTCAGAACATTTTGTGAGCTACACTATTAAAAATAAAGGTTCTTCACAGCGATGCCGTAGAAGAACCATTTTTGGTTCCACAAAGAACCATTAAGTCAAAGGTTCTTTAAAGAAGCATCTCTTTCTTACCTTTTTATAATCTGAAGAACCTTCTTTCGCCACAAAGAAACTTCTGTGAAACAGAAAGGTTCTTCAGATGTTAAAGGCTCTTTATGGAACCATTTAGACAAAAAGGTTCTTCTATGGCATCGTGAAACACCTTTATTTTTAAGAGTTTAACACAAAGTTTGAGAGTGAACGCAAAATGTTTGTAAGTGAATGCAAAAGTTTTGTGACCTAATCGTCAATTTTACTGAAAGTGCTTTTTTTAAAAAGCAAAAAACGTGCTTCACTCTTCTGCATTTTATGGAGCCCATAAAGGGAAATGCAATGGAAAAAATGAGTTATGAGGAAAAATTATATTTCAATGCTTTTTGTCATTAAATGTCATCTAGAGACAAAAATGTGTTCAGTTGTTTTGCAGATATAAGCCAATGTAATTTGGGGTGCGACCCATGAGGACTGATATCCAATAATTTAGATTTATTCACTTACTTCGCAAACATAAATGCCAAGTTTGGCCCTTAATGATTAATTCACCTGTATATTCTGAGTTTAAAATGTCCAAAAGACAAAAAACTTGGTCCATATGGACACCAGGAAAATCTGAGGACAAATTCACTGCACAGAAGTCAAAACTGTGCGACTCAAGCTCTTCTTTTTCTGCTTGGATCCTGATGAAACATTCACAGGCCTGTGAAAGTAATTCAGAGCTGGTGACATCGGATAGACAGGTTTATTACTGTCATTTCTCTTCTGTTCGGACAGGAAGAGGAGGAGCAAGTCATAGTGGAGTGTTGCGTGCGCTTCCTGTCTTTCATGGGTGTGGGGCGTGATGTCCATACGTTTGCGTTCATCATGGACACGGGAAACCAGCACTTCCAGTGTCACGTGTTCTGGTGCGAACCCAACGCGGGAAGCGTGTCGGAGGCTGTGCAGTCAGCCTGTGTGGTGAGTGACAAACACACGTCACACGGAAATCACAAGGAATATTACAGGTTAAATACAACTTTAAACCAGGCAAGGTGAAACGTTGAGAAGGAACACTTGAGCGAATGAAAAATTGTGACCTAACACAAATTTTACTAGCCAAAGCAAAGTTTCTCAAGTAAACCCAAAACTGATTTAGATACATTTGCATTTTGTAATTTGACACACAGACTGAATAATTTATGCAAGTGTTATAAAAAACAAAAAAAGCTTTACGATAGCAAAAAATATGAGCTTCACTTTTCAGTATTTTATGCGAACACAAGGTATCCAGAGGATTTACCAGATTCATGTAAGTGCTTTAAAAAAACAAAACATGAGACAGGAGGAAAAAAAACTATATGCTTTTTGTGAACAAATGCAAAGTTCCTTAAGCGTACACGGTTTCGAAAGCGAACGCAAAGTTTCTCGAAAACTAAAAACTCAGAACATTTTGTGAGCTACACTATTAAAAATAAAGGTTCTTCACAGCGATGCCGTAGAAGAACCATTTTTGGTTCCACAAAGAACCATTAAGTCAAAGGTTCTTTAAAGAAGCATCTCTTTCTTACCTTTTTATAATCTGAAGAACCTTCTTTCGCCACAAAGAAACTTCTGTGAAACAGAAAGGTTCTTCAGATGTTAAAGGCTCTTTATGGAACCATTTAGACAAAAAGGTTCTTCTATGGCATCGTGAAACACCTTTATTTTTAAGAGTTTAACACAAAGTTTGAGAGTGAACGCAAAATGTTTGTAAGTGAATGCAAAAGTTTTGTGACCTAATCGTCAATTTTACTGAAAGTGCTTTTTTTAAAAAGCAAAAAACGTGCTTCACTCTTCTGCATTTTATGGAGCCCATAAAGGGAAATGCAATGGAAAAAATGAGTTATGAGGAAAAATTATATTTCAATGCTTTTTGTCATTAAATGTCATCTAGAGACAAAAATGTGTTCAGTTGTTTTGCAGATATAAGCCAATGTAATTTGGGGTGCGACCCATGAGGACTGATATCCAATAATTTAGATTTATTCACTTACTTCGCAAACATAAATGCCAAGTTTGGCCCTTAATGATTAATTCACCTGTATATTCTGAGTTTAAAATGTCCAAAAGACAAAAAACTTGGTCCATATGGACACCAGGAAAATCTGAGGACAAATTCACTGCACAGAAGTCAAAACTGTGCGACTCAAGCTCTTCTTTTTCTGCTTGGATCCTGATGAAACATTCACAGGCCTGTGAAAGTAATTCAGAGCTGGTGACATCGGATAGACAGGTTTATTACTGTCATTTCTCTTCTGTTCGGACAGGAAGAGGAGGAGCAAGTCATAGTGGAGTGTTGCGTGCGCTTCCTGTCTTTCATGGGTGTGGGGCGTGATGTCCATACGTTTGCGTTCATCATGGACACGGGAAACCAGCACTTCCAGTGTCACGTGTTCTGGTGCGAACCCAACGCGGGAAGCGTGTCGGAGGCTGTGCAGTCAGCCTGTGTGGTGAGTGACAAACACACGTCACACGGAAATCACAAGGAATATTACAGGTTAAATACAACTTTAAACCAGGCAAGGTGAAACGTTGAGAAGGAACACTTGAGCGAATGAAAAATTGTGACCTAACACAAATTTTACTAGCCAAAGCAAAGTTTCTCAAGTAAACCCAAAACTGATTTAGATACATTTGCATTTTGTAATTTGACACACAGACTGAATAATTTATGCAAGTGTTATAAAAAACAAAAAAAGCTTTACGATAGCAAAAAATATGAGCTTCACTTTTCAGTATTTTATGCGAACACAAGGTATCCAGAGGGCATGCAAAAGTTGAAAGCAAACACAAAAATCTCTCAAGAGAAAGCAAGCAAAAGTTTCTTGAGCAAATGCAAACATTTTATGAGTTAAACGTTTTGGGAGCGAACTCAAAGTGTTGTGAGAAAACTATCATTGCGTGAGCTAACAAAACTTTTGCAAACAAATGTAAATTTTCTTGCATGAACAAATATTTTATGAGCGAATTTGAGCGAATGCAACAGTTTGAGAGCAAACACAAAAGTAAGTGAATACAGTAGTTTTGCAAACACAAGCTAACAAAAGTTTTGTGAGTAAAACTCAAAGTTTGAGGGAACGCATGTTTTGATAGCAAACAACTTTCTCGAGGGAAAGCAAAAATTTAGACTAAACCCAAAATTTCTCAAGGGAATATTTTGTGAGCTAGCAAAAGTTTTGTGAGCGAGTGCAAAGTGTTGTGAGAAAAAACAAATACAATTTGTGAGAGAACGCAACAGTTTGAGAGTTAATGCAGAAGTTTTTTCAAACAAACTATTTCTTTAGGGAATGCAAAAGTTTGCAAGTGAACAAAGTTTCTTGAATGAATGCAAACGCTGTGAGAAACATTGAGATCAAACTCAAAGTTTGAGGGAACGCATGTTTTGATAAGCAAACGCAAAGTTTCTCGAATGTAAAAATTGAGACTGAATGCAAAGTTTCTCAGGGGAACATTTTGTGAGCTTAGAAAAGTGTTCTGAATGAACGGAGTTTTTTGATTGAACTCAGAATAACAATTTCTAACAGAATTTTTGGCGAATGCAGAACTTAAGCGAACGCAAACATTTGAGTTAAAGGTTTTTAAAGCAAATACAAAATGTTTGTGGATGAATACAATGAATACAATAAATGCATACATTAAGATCTACCAGAAAAGATTTTAGGGAACACAAAAATTGAGACTGAATGCAAAGCTTCTCAAGGGAACATTGTGTGAGCAAACGTTGTAATATTACAAAAGTTTTTTGTGCAAACGCAAAGTGTTTGAATGAATGCAAATGCTGTGAGAAACATTGAGATCAAACTCAAAGTTTGAGGGAACGCATGTTTTAATAAGCAAACGCAAAGTTTCTCGAATGTAAAAATTGAGACTGAATGCAAAGTTTCTCAGGGGAACATTTTGTGAGCTTAGAAAAGTGTTCTGAATTAACGGAGTTTTTTGATTGAACTCAGAATAACAATTTCTAACAGAATTTTTGGCGAATGCAGAACTTAAGCGAACGCAAACATTTGAGTTAAAGGTTTTTAAAGCAAATACAAAATGTTTGTGGATGAATACAATGAATACAATAAATGCATACATTAAGATCTACCAGAAAAGATTTTAGGGAACACAAAAATTGAGACTGAATGCAAAGCTTCTCAAGGGAACATTGTGTGAGCAAACGTTGTAATATTACAAAAGTTTTTTGTGCAAACGCAAAGTGTTGTGAGGGAATACAAAAGTTTGGGCGAATGCAAGCATGTTAGCTAACAAACGCTTTGTGAGCAAAGTTTGAGGCAGTGCACTTTTTTTGAGAGCAAATGAAATGGTTAGAAAGCAAAAGCAAACATGTTAGCTAACAAATGTTCATTTGAGCGAATTTAAAGTTTGAAAGAATACATAAGTTTGGAGAGTAAACGCAAAGATTGTGTGCAAACAAGGTTTCTTGAGTAAACCTAACCTAACATTTTTTGTTAACTCAACAAAACTCGCTTAAGAAATTTTGCATTAGGCAAAAACGTTTGTTAGCTCACACAATGCTTGTGTTTGCTGCAAGCAACTTTTGCTTTCATTCACAAATGTTTTGTGTCCCCTCGAGAAACTTTGCGTTCGCACTCAAATCTTTTGCGCTCCCTTGAAACACTGGTGTTGGCTAACAAAACGTCTCCAATAAATTTTGCAGTCAAAGTCTCAAAATGTTTGCGCTTACTCACAAAAAATTGTCAGCTCACGTTTGCATTCGCTCAAGAAACTTTGTTCACACAACTTGCGTTCGCTCATAAATAGTTTAATTCAAAATTAGTTTTCGTTTTTCGATGAACGACAAGTTTATTTTCTGGTGTGAGCGACAGCATGCCACAGATTCTGTACATAAAGTGTTAAATTGTAGAGTTAAGTGTATCGTACATCGTTTATGGGTTAAATCTGTGTTTTTCTCTAGTTGCGGTATCAGAAGTGTCTGGGGAAGACCGGCTCCTTGACTCCGCCCCCTACCGACTCCGTCACCCGCCGCGTAACGTCCAGCGTCAAGCGCGGCGTCCAATCAATTATAGACACTCTGAAAAAGAAGCCCGCCCCCGAGGTTCCCCACCAATGACGGAACAGAGCGGCTGTGACGGACAGCAGGGGTGGTGTGTGTGTGTGTGTATTTACTGATGCAAACGAGAAGAGAAACACAGGCCAACATAACAAAAAAAGACAAGCGAGATGAATGAGGATGTCGGCGCTGAATGAAGCATGCGTCTGCCTTACACTAACACATTCTCACTCAAGTATTTCGAGGGCGTCAGTGTTCATGTCGCACTGATCTCGTCACGCTCAGATCAATGCAAGTCTTCACACGCATGGCCTTGATTCAAGCCACAGTGCGTTTCATTTCAAACCACCCGCTCATTCACACACTCTGGAAATTGGGTCCTTTATAAATTTTTCTTTCCCCAAGAAATTTAGAGTGAATTTATCATCATCATCATATCACGATGTTCAGTGGGAATATTGTAATACATCAGAGTTTGTCTGTAACATCTGCTCAGTCGCATTCTGTAATGAAGAGCGGAATGGGGATTTTTTGATCACACAAACATACTCCTTTAGTTAAACACCAAGGCCTGAAAGAGTCCCTGCGCAAGTACGCAAACAGCGACGCATATCTGACCCGGGACCACAAAACCAGTCTTAAGGGTCAATTTTTGGAAATTGATATGTATACATCATCTGAAAGCTGAATAAATAAGCTTTCCATTGGTGTATGGTTTGTTAGGATAGGACAATATTTGGCTGAGATACTATTTGAAAATCTGGAATCTGAGGGTGTAAAAAAAAAATCGAAATATTGAGAAAATCATCTTTAAAGTTGTTCAAATTAAGTTCTTAGCAATGCATATTACTAATCAAAAATTAAGTTTTGATATATTTACGATTGGAAATTTACTAAATAACTTAATGGAACATGATCTTTACTTAATATCCTAATGATTTTTGGCATAAAAGAAAAATTGATAATTTTGACCCATACAATGTATTGTTGGATATTGCTACAAATATACCTGTGCTACTTATGACTGCTTTTGTGCTCCAGGGTCACATATGTGTTATGCTTTTGTACAAACTCTGAGTGTTCCTGTGGCAGTGAAAGACCTCAGTATTCAAAAGAAGCTCCTTCAAATGTATAAATGATTTTTTATTCAGATGTCCAGATATCAAAGTTAGTCTGTATTATGTGTGAAATATTTTTTTTTAAATGAAAGAGTTAAGCAGTTTGAACCTTTAGACAATGTATATATATATAAAAAAAGTTTCCATGTGTGTTTTAAGTTGAGTATCATATATTTGCTCCATCAGGCTTTTATGGCTCATATAGTCTGATAGAGTGAGAATATGAAGTTAAAACAGCTTGTGATGCTTCTGCTTGCTTGTGATGTAAATCAGTGAGATCTTTATAACAGTAGAACAGATACGGACATAAAATGATCTAAATATCAGTCTCTCTGTATCTCCAGTAATCGGTCTCAGTGAGATGAGATTGAAATGCTCCAAACATATAATGCAGCGATTGACAGCTGAAGAAATAAAGGCTCCTCAGAAGATGTGAGATGTTCTGGAGGCTTGTGAAGATCATTCCTCCGCTGAGGAACAGTGAAAGTAAAGCTTCTGGAAACAAACGCTCCTCAAAAGATCCTGAGGATCAGATTTGAGACTCTAAAACATGATTGATGGAGAATCAAGTAAAGCTGAGCTGCTTCAGTCCAGTAAGTGTTCATCTGGAAATATTACTGCAGTTATTCTGACGTTTACTTGATAAAAATCAGCAAAGATTTGACAGCAGAAAGACACTGAAGCACCAGCTGAAGCCAGTTACACTAAAAGAGCTTTAACTGGATAAAAAAAAATCTAAACTGTCAGTAATTTAAGATTAACAAAATACATATAATGTTGAACTTTTACTAGATAATGAAACCGCTTCACAATATCTATGTTGATTCAACCTTGATCAATACCATTGAAATGCTGAGACGAAAAACCTCTTATTTTGGTGTGTTGGTGACATTTTCACAATTGCATCTCAAATGGTAAAATAAAGTCCCTTGGTTATTTTTTCATTAAGTATTCCACATGTGAAAGTAAAATGGGATGCAAACCATCTTGACTCAACCTTACAAAGCAACATACCCTTAAAACCGTTTCTTCACCATGACTCCTTGAGAAACCGTAGAAGACGTCGATTTACACTAACGCCCGCCGTGCTGAAGATGCAAAACATACTTGCATTGCATTATGAATAGTGGAACGCAGTGATGCATGACCTGAGCTTGCTTTGCTAAGAGATTTTGCGTACTTGCATAGAGCGTTTCAGGCTTTCACATACATGAGGAGTCTCTGCTAGAGCAGAAGCTTCAGATGTCAAACAAACACAGGAACGTTATTCCTCACAAAGTGGTATTTAAAACCAGATCGACCACTAAGACACTCATTTTTACACCATATTAAATGTACCATGTTGTGGAAATAAATTACATCAAAACAAAAGTGTCCCTCCGTATTTTATTTGCATGTAAATTCAAGTGCCATTGGAAAATATGCATGTTTTGTTTTGATGGCAGTGACACTCAAGTTTAGTAATAATGAGTTAGTGTGCTCTTGTACGGTAGGAACTGGAGAAAGGGGTGTGGTTGGGGGCGGGGCCTGTCCTGGAAGAACCGCCCTGAGAGGGACGTCGAGGACTCGAGGGCTTATCTGTGGAGATACAGAAGTAAACAGGACGTTTGTTCGTTTTCCTCAGTAGTTTACTCATCAGGATTAACAATCAAATCAAGCTAAAGCGAATGTTATGACATGTATTGGTTAAATTGAAGTAACCATAGCGTGATGGACCCCGAGGCCCCTGAGTTCTGCCATTCTGTTGAGTCGGTGTCGGCTCAGAGCTGCATCCTTTCATCTCATGTTTCAAAAATTCCGCCACGCGTGATTGGTCACTCTGTGTGGTGTGTCTTCACAGAGTGTTTTTGATTGGCAGGTGCCCTGCAGGACCGTCGGCCTCGGCCTTCTTTCTTCATTGGCTGGTTTGGGTGGAAGCCGTCTAACAAGCCTTTGGCCGCTGCGTGAGCAAGCACTTCCTGTGGCGTTTCGATCACTTCTAGTTCAAGCAGTATAGGAAACAAAAAAAGAAAAAAGAATAGGAAAAATAGGCTCAAGTGTATTTGAAACACTGTATTATGTGTGCAGGGCCGGATTTACCTCTTTTCGTGGCATAGGCAAAACAAATTTTTGGGCCCCCCTTCCCTATTAATATAATAGACCTAATATTACCACCCAAGCAAACAAAAATATTTCTTAATCAGTGGAAACAGTTATAGTGTATTCTATCGCAATATGCGCTTGCGTTCAGTCAATAAATATCGAATGTAGTTCTTAATTTGTTTGAGAACGGAGAAAGACCGTTCTATATAGGCGCGGCGTCGTGGCCACATAACCACTTCGGGAGTGCATTATTTCTCTAATAATTTTAATGGCCTGGAGTCACAACCACACATCAAGACATTGTTTTCAAAACTTTTGACATGTTTCCGTCCTGAAATCTCGTGTGTGAATGTGAATATGTGAATACCT